ATTTCAGCAGTTATTATGCATGTTCTGTGTTTCTGTCAGATGAACCTGCCATGCAATTAATTATGAATCATTCTTTTGAGTCAGTTCTTTCTTTTCACTATACTGGCCAAATGGGTAGAGACACCTTTGTTCTGCTCACCACTGCGCTCACTCATCATTTGGTCTGAAGAGTCAAGTCTTAAAGAAATGCGTAATAGTTACAAGAAAATGAAAACATCCCTTTGAGTTGAGTTTTTTTCACCCTCTGAAGAAACCCTGCAGGTGTCCCTGCATACACTCACTTACATGCAAACCAAACAGTTCAGTTATCCAACATTTATATTAAAGCCCCCGATCTACATAAATGCGTCTATGTTCGCGCGAATCATTCAAGATCCAGCTTCACCTACAGAAGAAGTGAGTTTAATGTTTTGTAATGAATCTTTGCAAATCGCCTTTCCTAATAATGTGCTAATTAGCAAGTTTCACGATGAATGCGGCTAAAGTAAACAGTCTCTCTGAGAGCAGCTCGGAAGAGAGGGGCGGGGTCAGCAGAGCTCATTAACATTTAAAGGAAAATGCTACAAAAATGGCTTGATCTGAAAAGAGCTGTTTTTGACAGGGTAAAAATGTGTTTTTTACACTACCATTGAGAAATTTTAACCAAACTATGTTACAGACTTTTCATTAAGACCCTAAAGAATCATATCAACTTGTGGAAAATGGGCATCATATGACCCCTTTAATGATTTCTGAGGTTACCTCATTCATTATCTTCTGCACTGCTGTATGTACCTGTCACTATTTAAAGCTTATCTTAAACTCATGCTGATAGAGTGACTGAAGGACAGACTGCAAAGGTGCTATTAACTCCAAGAGACAGCACAAAGTGATTGTCAAATGATGTCAAAATCCACTCATGAGCTACAATAGCAACAAAACCCCCTCATAGAATCACATATTTTCTAACTAGAATGATTTTAGGAAGAATAACCATTAAAGGGTTAAAAGAAAGACACTGCAAGCTGGGCAAAACTTTTTCAGGTTCAGTTTCCTCAGTCATCTTGTGTCTTGCACAATCCTCTTGTGTCTCTTTCTGTAAGAAAAAAATCCATTATTATGGTTCGTTCAGCAGTACTTGTCAGATCCACTGTGTGAGCCATTGCACGAATAACTGTCTGAGACATTGTTATATCTATGATCAGGATCAGAGTTCAGAGATGAAAAGAAAAGTTACATTTTTACATTTTGAAAAATTTGAGAAGATGCTGATCATGAATGATGCTGAGCCTCAACTACAATAGTTGCATTGTTTTTCCTTTCTTTTTCTTTTCATTATTCACTCACATGTTGGGCTTTTGGTTCTGTTAGCAGTTGAGCTGTCTGTCACAGGCTGAAGAAGAAAATTACACCTTTACAACAAAAATCCACTGCAATTTATTTTAATAACCAATTTAATTACCCATTTGGCAAGTTAAAATCCCATCTCAACATAAACTGTAGTATAACCTCATTTTAATATATTTTTTTTCATCATGCAGCATTAAGCCTCTTAAGGGCTTCTGGGTGAGGAATTGTTAATGCACATGAGAAAAATGACTCTGCACTACTTTGTGACAGAGTATTGTGGATATGTGATAACATAAATATAGTCCCCATTAAAAAATCTTTAGTTATATAGAGAGTTTATAGTAATACTCTTATCATTGTTTTTGTTTACTGGTTCGGTTTTTTATGTGCATTTTCTACACTTTTTACACAGTAACATTTTCCAACATGCAGATTCATAAATCAATCTTTCAGTCTATCCTCCAAATTGCACTAAAGCCACTGGGAAGCAAAACTGCCAGAACACACTGCGCAAGACGAGTTTACCATCAATTACTAAAGTTAAAAAAACTCATAATACTTACTTTTTGGGCCCTTGGTGTTTTCAACACTTGAGCTGTCAGAGGCTGAAGAAGAAAATGAAACCTTTATTGTACAACAAAATAACCATCACACACTGTTTAACATGAATGAAAACACGATGACACGATGCTTAAACAAACACTTACATAGTAGGCTTGTGGCACTGTCAACAGTTGAGGTGTCAGGGCCTGGAGAAGAAAATGTAACTTTTACAACAACACCAGAACATACTGCTAAAACCAGTGCCTAAAATAGCACAGTGTTAATGAACATTTATATTGTTAATGACATGAGAGAACAAAAATCCTGGAATTAATTCTAATTCTTACATGCCTTAATTATTTTAAATGAGCAATAACATAATTAAATGAATGAAAATAAATCACTTCACTGTCCAGAGATAGTTCATACTTTATACATAAATGCATAGCAGTTAAAATGATTTACAAGGAAATGGTAAATAAAGCAAACATTTTTGGAGTATTTTACAAGAAAATTCTATTTCAGGTTTTCTACTTCAAAATTTCACATTTAAATCAATGTGTTACTTGCCGTTTCTTTGTAACTGTATGTAGCAATTTCTGCATGACAATTGTTTCTACACCATTTTTGGAGTGCGTGAGTGTGTGTGTGTGGGGGGGGACTATCCTGTAAATTCTGTATTACATTGGTAAAAAAATGGATGTTCAAATAATAGTCCACTAATAAATGTAATCTGGATTATAAAACTAATTAAACGCAGCAAGTGCATTAAATATAGTAACAGCAGCTATCAAAGGTTAATCATTTCTGTTCTCACCTAATTTCTCTTTTTTCCAATACACCATATATCCAGCGACACCAATGACCATTAACAGGACGACAGCAACAACAACAACACCAACAATGATGCCAATGGGAGCAGAATCTGCTGTTTGATCAGAGGAAAACATCAGATTACTCACAGAGCCTGCTAATGTTACTGAAGGGATTTAGCCACTATATTTGTAGTCCACTCATCTAATTTATCTTACCATTGTTTGTCCTGATCTCATTTGCTGTCTTAGTTTTGCCCTGGTGCTCCACCACACAGCTGTACTTGTTCTTCTTCCACTCATCAGGTGTAACTTCTTCGCTCGTCCTCTGAAAGGTCCCGTCTTCATTGGGAAGAAGTTCACCGAGATCCACATCCTCATCATGATCTTGTCCATTTCTCATCCAGGAGAATGTTACTCCACTGGGGTAAAAGCCTGTAGCATGACACGTGACTGGAGACGAGGAAGACTTCTGCAGCAGAGACACCCGAGGAGAGACTGAAGAGAGAGAGAAAATTGAAAACAAGTGATATTAAATCTCCAGCTGCTGCAAATGATCCAAAAAGAGTTCTCATTTCTAAGTCACTCTGAAAAAAACATCAGCTGATTTGGTTTGCAGTCGAGGGGCTCAAGCACAATACTGAATTCTAGGGGTGCACCGATCAGGAATTTTGAGGCCGCGCGCCGATCACAGAAAGCAGTATCTGCCGATACGATCACCGATACC